CCCGGGCGTGCTATTTCTCCGACGTTGGCTGCGGTGTTGGCCATGACACTAGGAAGGTTGTCTTGGACGGATTCCCAGCCAATCAAATCATCGCCTCGGACCTCCATCCTGGTAAGCGTACCCGAGCCTTGGTAGCGGCCTTCAGCTGAGCGTGTTACCAACAGAGTTCTGGGGCATAGGCCACAAAGTGTTCAAATCCACGCCCGAGTCATTCCCGGTCAAGTTCATTGCAAGTGATGCCTTCGACGACACCTTCCTCACATACAGTGGCATCATTGCGACCTTGAAGTCTTTGGATACCCCGGCAGCGGGTAGTGAGCAACCAGTGGACCTGTCTGCCCTGACCTCGCTCACACCGCTCCGCGGGAGAGTTTCGGTGATTTATGCCTCTTCGTTCTTCCACCTCTTCGACGGGGAGCGCCAGAGCGAGCTCGCAAGCCGCCTTGCGTCGCTACTCGTACCCGCGCCGGGCTCGTTCATCTTCGGGTCACATATCGGGAGGCCCGAGAAGGGCCTGCGTGTCATGAATATTACACAATCCGGATGGTTCTCCCGGATTCCATGGTATTCTTTCACTTTCTATACACCTCCGTATATTCGTAGGATATTCTAGGTATTCAGTCTGACATGTATATAAGGAGCTTGTACTGCTCAATAGCAAGCCAGACTCGAGCTGGTCTTTCCTCACTCACTTTCCTCTCGTCTGTCTCCTCAGCTTTGTCGTAGCTCAGTCCAGTTGGATTGTTAGTTGCTGACATTAGCTCGAGTCTCCACCAACTGCCCTACGACGATCCTCGTCACTCCCACACCAACCATCACTCATCTCCACACGACGATCCACCCCATACGCACATCCGACTCTTACCCTAACTCCTAACCCTACCGCATTCTACCGCATCAAGACCCGGACCCCTGGAACCCTTTTCCGTGCACTTGCACAAACTTTTACCATACCACATCCCCAAAGCCACCTCTGTAATCACTAGCTCTTAGGCAGCTAGACAGAGCCCCGTCCCATTAGAATCGTACACTGCCCTACCATAGGTGGTGTTAAACGCTTTGCGCAGCGCAAGCGGATATTCCTGAGTACAACGTGGCAACCGGTTGCGGCCGGGCATCGGAAAAGCAGTAGCAGTTAGATCGACGATCCTTTTGAGGGCGTCGGACCGAAGAGACACAATTGCTCTTTGGGCTGCTACAGTATCTCTAGAACTGTATTACAATTAGCGTTTCGGTTCTTATTCGGAAGTTTCCATCTTTGGCAAATTCTACCCCTGATCTGGTCGTTACAACACGATTAGTCCCAGGGTTTGCTGCAACCAGCTTCACGGACCCGACACCCTATGACCACGCCCTCCTGTGACTGTAGAGGACACGTACATCGAGAACTAGAGGGAACATCCATCTACCTACACGGCGATAACGTACGATACTGCGTGCAACAACCGTGTCCACACTCTTCAGATAATAGTACTCGTTGTTCCCGGTGTAGAGAAGGATTACGTGGAGAATTGCTACAAAGAGTTCCCACAGGAGCACCGTCAGAATCCCTCGCAGTCCCGCAACCCGTAGCATCTGGTTCAGAACCCAGAACCAGACGAGATACTCTCGAATCAGTCACTGACCATCTCCGCTCAATCGCCCTCGGAGAATCCGAAGCACCACCAGAGGGCCCGCCAAATCCCGAAGAAGAAGCGGTAGAAGACTCAGAAGCCTCGGAACCACCTTCCCGATGCTCTCCCACTCCACCTTCATCCCCATCCGATCCCGGCGCGATGGCCGAGAATCAAGATAGTGCCGCGCTCCTCAATGGAAGCGCAATGAAACCAGACGCCTTCGACGGCACGAAATCCAAGTACATTGCTTGGAAGACCCAAATGAAACTCTATGTAGTTACGCAGAGGAAGCGGCTACCAGAGCAGTTTGACAGAGTCCTAATGATTCTGTCCTACATGAAGGGTGGACACGCGGGCGAATATGTCGCTACATTCATGAAAAAATACGACGCGGACGAAAACTCCGTAATACAGACCACCAAGACACTGTGGGAAGACCTGGACAGGCACTTCTTAATCGATGAGCAAGCCGAAGCATACGATCGGCTTCAGGCAATGCAGATGGGGACGTTGTCGGCACAGGAATTCTTCTCAAAATTCGAGTTATGTGCCTTCCAGGCAAACATTCACGATTTCGAAGCACACTTCCAGGAACTCAAGTCGCTTCTTGAGAAGGCACTCCGGGCCGACATCATTCGACTTCTGTACAATTCATCAGAAGAACTCCCCACCACATATGCACTCTACAAGCAACAGGTCGCGCGCATCGACCTAAATCAGCAACAGTATCGCCGAAGAAACCCTCAGTCCCAACGACAGGGACAGTTTCAACCAAGGCAGCAGCAGGCGCAAAGCACACCACGAGCGCAAAATGCACCCGCACCAGCAACTGCTACTGCGCCAGTTCAAACACGGCGCGACGGAACTGGTGTCACATTCGGAGGAAGGGGACAACCGATGGATTTGGATCAAGCACGACGCCAGGGTCTTTGTTTCCGATGTGGCCAACAGGGTCACATATCACGAAATTGCCCTAATCGGCAACAAGCTCAACAAGTACGAGCCGCGGAAACCCCGGCAGTTCCCACCACCAACACGTTCACACCCCTCACATCACTGAACGAAGCTCCTGCCGCGACGGCAGAACCATTCGATTGGAAGAAGGCAATTCACGAAGAATTTTGTGCGGCCATGAAGGGTTTTGCAAGCGGTCAGCCGGGCGCGTAGCCGAGTTGACCGAGCATAATTTTACAAATTATCTGTGTTCTTGGTTTGGAGTAGCAACGTATATACCAGAAAAAGGGGCGTCCGCAGAGCGGCGCGGAGAGGCACAACCCTCTTGCTTAATTCCCCTGAATAAAAAATTATTGCCTACACCAGAACACCAGACCGAATCTACGCAGTGGCAGCGCCACACACCTTGGACAGCGGCTTGGATCCGCCAATGGATAATCAGCAAAGAAGCCTCAGCGCTTAGATTGCTGACCGAATGGGTACACTCAAAGAAGAGTGTCGATGCCTCTGAAGCCTGTATGAACCAAATCAGGCAGATGAAAGAAGAAGAAGCCATAGACTTCTTAAATGAATTGAGAAAGCAGCCCCGGTTTATCCGAGGAAGGAAGGGGACACAGATGGACGTCCTAATGATCATAACCACCCTGGACACGCAGCAGCGCTTATCAGTCAAAGCGCTATTAGACACAGGATGTACTGGATCTTCAATCGATGCGCAGTTTGTCCGCGATAACAACATCGCTACAAAGAAACTGCCATCACCGGTCCCTGTCTATAATGCAGATGGCACGCATAATGCCGGCGGCGCTATCACAGACTTCGTTGAATTAAGGGTGGAAATTCAGAACCATGTAGAGCGACTTCCTTTCGCAGTTACCAATCTAGGAAAGACTCCAATCTTTCTTGGATACGAGTGGTTACAGATTCATAACCCATCTATCGATTGGCAAAAGCAAATCATTCAGTTTGATCGGTGCCCGATTACCTGCAAATACGCAACCCGATTAATAGATATTGATGCCGATCATGAGGAGCCCAGCGATCCGGAGGCTCGCCTAGAAGAAGGGGATAGAATCTTCATTCTAGACCATGAAACGTACTTTGCGACAGGAGCAACACACATTCGCACCACAGCCACTGATCTAGCGATCAAAGAAAGCCTGAAACACGAAGCCAAGACCTTTGAAAATACCGTCCCGAATCACTATCACGACTACTCCGACGTATTTAGCAAAGAGGACTTTGATTCTTTACCGCAAAGACGACCGTGGGACCATGCGATCGAATTTACATCAGGCGCGCAACCAATCAGTTGCAAAGTTTACCCTATTTCTGTAAACGAACAAAAAGAACTTGATGAGTTCATAGAAGAAAACCTCCGAACCGGGAGAATCAGACCATCGAAATCTCCGTGGGCTTCTCCTTTCTTCTTCGTCAAGAAAAAAGATGGACGACTTCGACCCGTACAAGACTATCAAAAGCTGAACGAGCTAACGATAAAAAACCGCTACCCACTTCCTTTGATACAGGAATTAGTAGACAAGTTGAAGCAGGCGCGGTACTTTACGAAACTAGACGTCCGATGGGGATACAACAACATCTGCATCAAAGAAGGAGACGAAGAGAAGGCAGCATTCCTAACAAATTGAGGACTATTCGAGCCGCTTGTCATGTTCTTTGGGCTCACCAATTCACCGGCTACGTTCCAAACCATGATGAACGACATATTCTGAGATCTCATTAGTCAAGGACACGTGGTAGTCTATTTAGACGACATCATGATCTTTACTCAAGATTTAAAAGAACACCGTTGGATCACGCGGCAAGTTCTTCAGATCTTAAGAGAACACAAACTTTATCTGAAACCAGAAAAGTGTGAGTTCGAGAAAGCGGAGATAGAATATCTCGGGATGATAGTGGGAAAAGGAGTTGTTCGCATGGATCCCGTCAAGATAGAAGGAGTTATCAATTGGCCACGGCCCGAAAGTAAACGAGACATTCAGGCATTCCTCGGGTTTACCAACTTTTACCAAAGATTCATCCGAGATTACGGCAAAATAGCAAAGCCACTCAGTTCACTAACGGGCAATGCTACTTTCGAATGGACCATCGAACAAGAAGTAGCTTTCACAAGCTTAAAGGACGCCCTCTGTACAGCACCAGTACTAGCCATACCTAATGACAACGACCCATATCGAATAGAATGCGACGCCTCGGACTTCGCCATAGGAGCGGAATTAGCCCAGAAGCAAGATGGCAAATGGAAGCCTGTTGCTTATCTGTCAAAAGCCATGACAGCTGCCGAAAGGAATTACGAGATTTACGATAAGGAACTTCTCGCAATCATGACTAGTCTTGATGAATGGCGTCAGTACCTTATGGGTGCCGTACATCCGTTTGAAATATGGACGGATCACAAGAATCTAGAATACTTCCGGAAGCCGCAGAAGCTCAACCGACGACAAGCCCGATGGGTAACCGAGCTAGCGGAATATCAATACTCGTTACATCACAAGCCCAGTAAATCTAATGGCAAAGCCGACGGACTATCTTGCCAAAAGAGGCACAATGCAGGAAAAGAGGACAATTCCGATATCATATTACTAAAACCAGAACATTTCCGTGCCTTGATTCGTAGTACTGTATTTAGTTTAGAAGGAATCGACCAGGACTGGGTCGCAGAAATTAAAAAACACAAAAAGAACCGAGATTCGTTAGTTACCATAGCTTTACAGAACAAGGACAAAGACTGGAACGAAGATAGTACCGGACTCGTGACATGGAAGAATCGTATTTACGTACCAGTAAATAGAAAACTCCGTGGGCAAATCATTGCTCATCACCACGATACCCCATTGGCTGGACATCCTGGTCAATACAAGACACATGAGATGGTCACACGTAACTACTGGTGGCTCCGAATTCGAGAGGATATCAGAAAGTATGTGGCTGGATGCGAGAAATGCCAGAAGACCAAGGTTCATACGACGCGCCCTACCGGACTTCTATTTCCCAACGAAATTCCTTCACGACCCTGGGAAGTAATCTCCGTCGACAAGATAGGCGTATTGCCGGACTCCTTCGGATACAACGCCATCCTCGTGGTCGTCTGCATGTACTCTAAGCAGATAATCGCGATACCAAGCACCATTGAGCTTAACGCCGAAGGATGGGCAAAGGCACTCCGAGATAACGTAGTCGCACATCATGGATTACCCCGAAAGATCATCAGCGATAGGGGAACTGAATTCAAGAATCAGTTCATTTCTGAGTTGTACCGATCACTCAGAATCGAAGCCAACCCGTCAACCGCGTATCATCCCCAGACAGATGGACAGACGGAACGCATCAATCGCGAGATAGAACAGTATCTCCGACTATTCATCAACTACCGACAAGCGGATTGGGCCAAATGGTTGCCCCTCGCAATCTTTTCGTATAACAATAAAGTCCACTCATCCACCGGGTATACCCCGTTCTTCGTCAATAAAGGGTATCATCCTTACGAAGGAATCCAACCGGTACGAGAAGAACTGAGCGAAAATGTCCAACAGTTTGTCGATAGAATGGATCGCGTACGCGAGGACACTAGCGCCGCTATCAGTCTAGCGCAGGAGACAATGAAACGCTTCTATGACCGAAAGAGGAAGAACGGACCAGAGTACAAAGAGGGGGATAAAGTCTGGCTAGAAGGGATAAACATCTGAACAGATAGACCAATGAAGAAGCTCGACGATAAGCGATATGGACCCTTTAAGGTTAAACGCAAAGTCGGGGCTTCCGCCTATGAGTTGGAACTTCCACGTCAATGGAAACAACATCCTATTTTTAACGGAAGTCTACTTAGCCCCTTCAAGGAACCTACATATCCATCACAACGACAAGAACCGACAGTCCCTGACCTCGTAAATGGTGAGGAAGAATGGGAAGTCGAAGACATTCTTGACTCTCGTCGCGATCGAAATGGGAATCTTAAATATCAGGTTCTCTGAAAGAATAGTCCCCACAGTGATCGCCGTTCCTAGGAATCACGAGCGAACTTGACCAATTGTCAAGAACTCCTTGAGGAATTCCACTCTAGACGTCCCAATAAACCTGCGCCTATGATGATTTGAATTCCCCCTCTATTGACACGACCTGTCCACATACTCACACGCGATACCACTCTTTTGGTGCAACGAATGGGTGGAATTCTCCCGAAGCAAGGATCCGAAGAATCAGCTGGGTTGGATCTCTACTCAGCTGAAAGCGTTAAGATACCGGCGCGAGATCGCAGGATCGTAGGCACCGGCATAGCGATGCGCGCACCTCACGGAACGTATGCACGAATTGCGCCGCGAAGTGGATTAGCAGTCAAAGGGATAGATGTCGGCGCTGGAGTAGTAGACCGAGATTACACCGGAGAAGTACGCGTAGTGATGATCAACTCCACGAATCCAACCCTTCCATGTACACGCTGGCGATCGGATCGCACAAGTCATCTTAGAACGCATTGCGTCATGCGATATCGAGGAGGTGTCGAGTTTGACAGAAACTCAACGAGGGTCGGGAGGATTCAGATCGACGGGTAAATAATCGTGAGGACACGATTCTAGACGGGGGGGTAATGTCATGAATATTACACAATCCGGATGGTTCTCCCGGATTCCATGGTATTCTTTCACTTTCTATACACCTCCGTATATTCGTAGGATATTCTAGGTATTCAGTCTGACATGTATATAAGGAGCTTGTACTGCTCAATAGCAAGCCAGACTCGAGCTGGTCTTTCCTCACTCACTTTCCTCTCGTCTGTCTCCTCAGCTTTGTCGTAGCTCAGTCCAGTTGGATTGTTAGTTGCTGACACTGCGCCTCGAGAGTGCGCGCCCGAACACCGAGGGCTTACCCATGTTCTGCCACAATCCAGAGAGCTGGAAGACGCTTTGGAAAGGGGTATTTGGGGAGAGCAAGATCGAGACGAGGGCCGTGCTGAAGGAGGTCCAGCGGAGGGACATGCCAGAGGGCGTGAAGGTGCACATCATGGCTTGGTCTGTCAGGCGGCTGTGAGGCTGTGAACAGATCGTGATCTCACCGTTCACATTCCTACATCTTGTGTTATTCGGTGTA